CCGCGCCCGGCGCTGCTCCTGCTCCTCGCTGATGGACGAGGAGTGCGTCTACTTCTGCCACCTCGACATCATCTGGATCAACACCCCCGAGTGAGTGCAGTGCAATGGAGGGGTTTCGGCAGTTCCCCAGCGCCGGGTTCCCCTGTGGCTAGGAAGAAAGGGAGGGAGGTGTGAAGGCGAAAATTACGAACCACTACCCCCCTGCAGAGATGGGAAGGGGAGGAAGGAATAGTTGTTTGCACAGTTTCTCCTACTGCTTTACCTTCCTGCTCCTACTTTTCTGGCGCATGTAGCAACGAGACTGTTCCCCAGAAGAAGGCAAGCAGGACTGGGCCACCCAGATCGGGCAGATAGCTCCTAATAGCCCTAGCACACCTGCCTACCTAAAATCTGGGCAGCAGAATTTCCTTCGGGTGCTCCTCAGCAAAGGCTGCAGGATACTTTTCACTATGAATCAGAATCAGACAAAATGCCAAAGGCGTGATTTTGCCAGCCTGAATTTGAGCGGTTTTCTTTCTGACAAGTTAGGAGGTTGGAAGGAATACTTTGACACCGGGTGGCTCTAGCTGCCTTTCGCTGCTCTCTGCTGCAAATTAATGCGTCCCACGTGTTAATAGGATTATGCACAGTATCCATTTCTATACTCTCCTCACCAAAAAGTAGTGAGCCAAAGGCTCACCTAAGGCTGCAAACACTGTAACATTGACATTTCTTCTGCTGCTGGGTTTCCTCTGAGAGAGAATCTGTTCTTCACTTTTACTGCTTCTTTCGGTGTTGGCAGTAGCCAAAGTTCAAAGAGATGAGGTTTTATTGCTTTCTATTGCACAGGGAGGCACAACAGCCTTGTGAAATCACAATTAAAAGGTCATCATCCTTGTCAGTAGCCATGCTAATGAATATGTTGCAGGATCATCAGAAGCATTTGCATGGAAACTGTGACTAACGATGCATTCCCTATCCCACAACCTTTACTCGAGCAATCAATGCCGTTGATAAGATTGCCCAAAATACCCCATAGTGTTTTGAAGCCACAGAATTATTTAAATGACTTTCATGTTGTCTCTTTGATCATAGGAAGACTGTTCCATATGGTCTTGGTGGCCCTGCTCGACCCAGAAGATCACTGAAGGACGTGGTGCCGGAGATGCTCGCTGAACCAAGCAGCAGATGCCGATGTGCCAACCAGAAGGACAAGAAATGTCTGAACTTCTGCCAGGCAGGCAAAGATCTCTGGTGCGTCTCTTGTTGCTACTCTTTAAAAGGCAATGCATGTGAAAGGGATGGATTGTGGTGCACTTACTCATTTTGGCACTTGCTGAGCGAATGCTCTCCCCAAAGCCTTGCCTCCTACCTGAGCGCTCCCACTTCTATGATGCACACTATGGCTTGGCCCAGAAAGATTGCTTATTACATGCCTTGAGAAGTGGTTGACGAGATGCCTCACCTTGTGGACTGCAGACTTGGCACTTTTTTTAACAGCAGCACCTTTTCCCTTTTAACAGGGCCCAGTCCACAGTGGAGAAAACCTCGCGGCACCGCATCAAAGCCGGCAGTTGCCTTGGACCCAAATGCATGAACCGACAGCTTGTTGACAGCAGGAAAATGAAGCGGTGAGTTTCTTCTCATCCCGTTGTAGTTCCCCAGAGCAGCAATAGAGAGCACAGTTCACCTGCCTTCGGGTCATCCTGGGCTTAGCTGCTGCTTTCAGCCTGACAGTCAAGGAGCAGTCAGTGAGGATATTCAGAGGGCTTTTCCTCATGCTCTGGGTTTTTAGCTTGTGAGCACACGGGTGCTGAGCTCAGTCCGCTGTCTGTCCTCTGCTTGCATTCAGTGCTCAGCCATGTTCCTATGGAAAAGTATGGAATACAGAAGTTTGCCTGTACTAAAGAAGACTCTTTAGTGCTCCTTTCACAAGCAGAACAGTACTTAGGGGAGCAGGCAACCTGATGATATTGAATGAGACTTAGGCCCTGGAAGTCTTAAATAATTTTTTGAAAGCAGGGCTTGCTTACTTACTTGAAAAATGCACCTATTCATTGGAAGTAGGATCAGGTTTACTAAAAGAAACAACACAGGAGAAACATAAAAAACCACTGGAGACCTCCTGACGGGCTACTTAAGGAAGTCTAAGGCATCTATATTTGAGTGAATATTTTAATTTAATGTTTGCATTGAAATTATGAATACAACATTTCAAGTATCTTAAGTTATCCTCATTCTGAGGTATAGCAAACAGCAGTTTATTAGGATCCACGGTAGAAATCTAGACTGAGGTTTATTTAAGCAAAAAGTTTTTTCACTCTACACATACATATACATACACATCTCCATTATCACAAGGCTAAATGTACATTTCTTGGTTTGCAGGCTGGAGGCCATTGGGAACAGTATCAAAGCCTCCTTCAGTATTGCAAAGCTGAAGGCTGAGCTCCAGAAAGGGCGAAAGCTCAAGCACAACAGGGCGAGCAAAAGGCAAAGCGTCCGGGAGAGCCTGAAAGCATCCTAGTGGGAGATCACCGGAATCCTCCTCTGCAACGCTTGCTGACAAAGCATCGCGAAAACTGCCCTGACTCCAACATTCCTCGATGGCCAAGGGCCCCTCTGTCCCAGTGTTCGCACAGCGGAGCTAAGTGCTAAGGAAGTCCTGTATTTGGAGATATAAAGACAAAGGATTTTGTCATTTCGGAATTCAGGTGGATGGGTAGAAGGGCTGAAGGGAAATCTGCAGTGACATACATGAAAAGCCATCTGTCTGGAGAAACGTTTGAATACTGCTTCTGGAATGTTACCCATCAATTGAGCAGCTTTCAGGGTCTACAATAAAAACATTTCGCAAGGAAGACCTCACAGATGTGCTTAGCAAGGACAGAAAGCAAGATCCAAGTGTACAAACTTCAAAGAACTCTACCTTTTGATTAAAATGCAAAAATGAAAGCCACAGTTCTACTTTAATCAGGACTTACTGCATATATACATGTCTACCTCGCATACTGTTTGTTGCACTCCTGCTAGAGTATTTTTACACCTTGTTATTGCCTTTACTAATCAGCTGCAACCCTTTGCCTTTTTTCAGAAGTCTAGTTTACTTGTACAACCAGAGTTATCTGAACGTGGGTTAGGCACTCTGTTTGCATAGTCAAAGTCCTTTGGCTTTGGATACCAAAGGACCCTTCAACATAAAATAAAACTTATCAAGGACACTACTAGTTTCCCATAACAAGGATATCTGGTCAACTGAAGTTCTAATAATACAGGTTGTTGTGTCTTGCATGCTACCAAAAACGCACTGAAGTGGGGATGTACCAGCGGCTCTTGCAAGATTTATTCAGGGCCTTGCTTGGTGGAAATGCATTGAGACAAAGGGTTGTTTTGAATTAAGTCAAAAGGCTAATATTGGGTGAATGTTTATAGCAGTGAATTTGTTCACATTGTTGAATTTGCAGACAAGTTGAATCTTATGTGCTTATTTTTGTGTCATGTATTTATATTCACACAAGTTCTTCATTATATTTACCATGTTGAATACACATTGAAGTAGGCCATATTGGTCTATGCATGTTTTATGTATTTCTGTATGAAATTGGGAAATGCTTTATGCCTATCAAGGTAAATATCTTCAGAAATAAATATTTTTAATTACTGTATTGGCTTGTTTTTCCTTAGTCTGTGGCTCTGTGGTCATGGAGGTAGGTTGCCCCACATATAAAGCTGACCCAGGTGAAATGTGTGCACATAATTGTCTTTCTGTCAGATAAGCCAGATCACAGGAATCAAAGTTTGTGCCAGATGTGAGACAGCACATGACACTTGTTCTAGCTGCAAGACTGCTCATCAAATTTTCATGGCAAACTCTCAATTGGTCAAATTAATCTATCCTGGAGCAGTCTTCTCACGTGTATGATGTAGGTGTACTACAGAATTAAAATATGGGCATTAAGGATTTGGGTATGGATGAACTAGAGGGGAAATGCACACGCTGGAAAACTTGTGGGCTCTATTGAACTAGGAAATGTTACTTATTACCCTGCTATACTAAAAAATTCAGCCCATTCCATGCAAGGTAAAGATGGAGATCTCAGTGGGGCCCAAGCCCAGGAAAAATCTAGATCAATAATTATCTTTTTTACATGTTTCAAAATATTGACTTTAAATGGTTATACCTAGAAAGATGCTTAAAGCAAATAAATTGATTTAATAAACTCTGATCCTGTAGGGAAAAAAATAAAGCGCAGGAGTTAATCCAAGGATAAAACTGAGTGGTTTGGGTTTTCTTAAAAACAGAACTTAACAAAGAAGTACAATACAAGGAGTGTGACCCAAGCACAGAAGTAGTCACCATTGAAAATTTCTGAAATTGCTCTGGATTTCTTGTCAATATTCATAATATTGACAGGCTAAAATAATGTTTTGTTCGTGCTGCTCTGATGTTTTAGAGCAGTAATTCAGTGGGAAAATGACATTGCTGGCAGTCCTGTACTGACAGGAGTGCCTGGTCCAGGCAGTGGGAAGGAGCTGGGAGCCCCTGTGCTTCTGCAGGGCAGGCTGCAGCCCCCAGAGCATTCCTTTGATCTCTGCATCACCAGCACTGACTGCTCGGGATGTGCCTGGATCACTGACCTCTGTCAGGTGTGAAGAGACCTCACTAATGCTCCCTGGTATTCCATTTCTTGCCCTACCAGTGGTTGCCTTTGGCAGGGAAAATAAACAAGCAAGTAGTTGAGATGCTCCCTCCCACTCAGCCAAAGTGGCAGGGGAGCAGCTGGTGTGGGATGGATGCTCCTGATAGTGAAGGGGCTGCACATCAGCACCCCCATCCCAGTGGCTCCTGTTTTCTCTCCCAGGAAAGACTGTGGGGAGAGGATCAATTCTGGGAGTGGGGGAGCATTGCAGCAGTGTCTGTGCTGTTATTAAGGCTGGTTATTTGGATTTTCTGTGTGGCTGGCCTAAATGATGTTGTGGGTGGGCTTTAATAGCCCAAATTTCTGGCTATCTGCTTAAGAGATTCTTGGGAGACCATCCTAAAAATAAACGTGTTCCTTCTAAGGTTTACTCTGTTCATGCCCAGAGTCAAAAGCTGGCTTCCATTCTCCTTTCCTTCCCAGTTAGCTGCATCTGCTGCTTGCTCATGTTGCAGCTTTGTGTAGGGATGGGCACTCTGGCCTTTTGGCATGCCGTGGGTTCAGCTTGGTCCCCAGGGCGGCGCAAAGAAAAAGCCTGAGCCTCGATGCAAAGAGCATGAAGGGGTAAGCTGCCCTGATGGCAGGGGCTTGCAGGCTTTGGGAAGAGTGGCAGGAGCTGTTTCATGCTTCCCAGCTGGCTTCAGGGACCTTCTGGGGTGCAGCAAGGGTGGAAGGGGATGCATTGCTGCTTCTGCATGCCACTGTGCCCCCCATTTGCCTTGTGGCATTGGAGCATAAACTGCAGCCTACCCTGGTTTGCATTAATGAGCTAGACTGGAAAAGCGGAGTTCAGCAGTCTGTTTGTCTCACTGAACAAGCAACAGGGAACATGAAGCATTTTATCTTAACTCTGGCTCACATACAAGTACCAGGGTCTGTCCCAGAGGTTTGCTCCTTCTCAAAGCTCTGTGAGAAAGAGAGATTCAGTAACTTAGGCTAGAGACCCTGGTGAGGAAAGAGAGGCATAATATGTGCTGGGATTTATGGCACCGAACACAGAGCAGTGTAAAAGTACATTCTTACTTATAATAAACGAACTGAGTGAAAAAATATTCTACCTGAAGCCAAAGGAAACATTGTGCTGACTGCAGAGGCAAGGCTGCAGAGTCAAAGCTCTTGGTCTTCTAACTAGCACTGATCTTAGTGCCCTGAAAAAGGGAACCTTTCATGATCATGACCTATCTCCTTTTTAAGTGAGAGGTTCTTCTAATCCAGGATGAAATTTGAGAGGCATAAAGGGAAGTGTATAGGGAAGAGGGAAACCACTTTCCAGTGTGGCCCAAAATACACCTGATATATGACTGAAATTCCATCTCACACTGAGAGCAAGGAAAAGCTCCATTCCTGAGCTGTTATCAAAGTATATCTCCCTCCTCTGATATTTCCTGGGTTCAGTATGGCCATTTCTGGAATTGGAAAGTTTCACAGGAACAGACAACTATTCTCCAAAATTAGGCTTGCTGTACTTATTTTTATTCAATGCTGACTGTAATTCTTTCTTTCTCAGCTGGTTTATTTTCATTTTCTCTGGATAAAGGCTGTTTTGACTATAGATCAAAACAAGGTATACAATAAAACAAAGCTTTGACGTGTGAGTCAGGCTTCAAGTCAGGAAAATACTACAATGCTACTGAAATTCTTTCCATCTTATCTACATAATTCTGACCTAATTCTTCCAGAAATGGCAACCCTAATCTGTACCACATTATCATGAACTGCCCCCAAATAATTCCTGCAGGATGTCCTAATGTTGCCATTAGAAGTTACCAAATACCAACCTCTTTGTTCATGTTTCCTTACATTAGGATAAATTTAGCCACCAAAACACATTTCTATATTTACAAACAGAGAATGACTGGATAAACCACTGTTTGAATGCTATCTGGTGTTTACTCTTTTCACACTCAACTGTTTGCCTCTGTGTATATAAAACCATATCAATTTTTACTTGGACTGCATCAAGGCACTATTATTAGGATCCTTGGGTAGAAATCCAGCTTCCATCCTCAGCCAATATCTTTATTTAATGTACTGTTCTTCCTTCGTGACCTAGGAAACAAAAGGGCCGACTTTTTGATTAATTAGAGGAGAATGCTTGGAAGCTGTGGTGCTAAGTGTAAGTATGCAGAGAGACAGAAAGCTGCAGATAAAGTACAAAGATAGTGGCAAGATCGTTTTTCCTGAGGTAAACATCGTGCAAACGACATTTCAGAACCGTCGCCAGAATGAGTGTTCATGTCTTTCTTTATTTTATATCTCTGATCAAATCTGAGCTAGGTGAAAAATGGTAGGGAAGCCTATTTTGCTCAATATGGTTAAACAATCAGTTGGTATGTCTTAGTGCCCGGGACAGGCTCCTCTGCTCCGATCAGGTCAAGGAGACCTGAGTTCTGCATGAAGTCCACTGGGCCAGCCAGCCAGCCAACAATTCCCTCAGCCTTAGAGGCATAACTTCTGGCAGTGCAAATGAGAGCAGAATTTGACCCAGAAAGGCTTCCTTCTGTCTGGTATTGCCACTCTGGGGACAAACAGACACTGGTTTGCTCATGCTAGCACTGGCCTTTAGTGGCTCTTGGTTTTCTTGGGCTGGGTTTGGATGGGTTTTGTTTATATTTGGATGGGTTTTTTTCCTCCCTGCAAGCATTTGATAGTAATAAATTAGATAAATATCATTTTGGTAAGTGATAGGGCAGTTTGCCTCTGGCTCAAAAAAGCTGCATTCAGAAATGGATGAGCCCCATGGAGTTTGTGGTTTCATTGACTTCTCCAGCTATTTTGGGGGCTACAGAAATTATTTAGTTCATCAACTGTAATTCAAGCCCACACTGTTGTTGTTGTTGTGTTTTTCTCTCCAAGGAAATAAAGTAAAAAAAACAACCCTAAAAGGAACTTTTTTCCTAGCTAAAGGAAAAATGTGCATTTGTGCCAGTCACCAGAGACAAATCCAACTTCTAATCTGGCAAGAAGAAAGCAGCACTGTATTTTTGGTCACATAGGTTTGATTTACATCCTCCTCTGCTTTCTCCATCTCTTTTCACAAACACAATTTAACCCAGGACTTGATGAAGTATCCATCATGGAAAAAAAGGAGTGCTCTAAGGACTTCTTGTGCAGAGGTAGTCACATGTATTGAATGTTTTCATGGGCAAGAGCTTCTCTTATCATATCTTCCTTTCAATCCTATTGTTGCAAGAGATTGTCTTTTCTTTCGTATTTTAGTCTTCCCTTATTTCTAACAGGAGTATAAAGCAGTGATATTCACAAACTAGACAGCAAACTAAAGCAGACAGAGAAGTTGAACAAATGGTGTGTGCCTTATTCTTATTAGAAATGTGCAGGCTTTAAGGTGTGGATTTGCCTGTGGGAGGATTTCCCTCGAGTTCCATAAACAAGCGCAGAAGGAGAACCAGGACATTGTATGTGCTGGAGAGGTGCCTTGAGAGTGCCCTGTGGGTTTTCCCCTTGTGATTGTCCCTCTCATGTCACCTCAAAGGAGACTCTCTTTCCTTGCACATGGGCTGCCCAGCACATCCATCAGGCAGTGAACCTAATTATGCAGCCAGGCAAGCAGGAATGAGCGAACCCATGCTGCTGGAAGGAGGGATCAATGCTGGGCTGATCAGAGCCTGCAGTGCTCAATGCCGATGCCAGTGTGCCCTTTGGGGGACAGGAGAAGGGTGGCTGCTGTCACAAGCCACACCAGCAGCCCAGATCAGTCCTCTGGAAGCGTAAACCTCCTGTCCCACACAGCTGCAGGTTCCACATGGGGGCTGCTTTGCCGTGCCAGCTGCTCTTCCCATAGGCACCATCTCAAAACGACCCCGCTGGTCTTATCAGTACCTCACAGCAGATTTTTCTGAGAAAGCATCTCAGCTGGGAGTGCTGTCCAGTCATCCCAGCTTCCCTATGGATGGACTAAACTGGCATTATTCAGGAGAGTTTGGAGGAACAGCCCTGATTTCACC